CTGATGTGGTGTTAACTATCTTCAAGTAGCCTATTTGATTAGCATATTCTGTCATGATAATCTATAAATTGCTTGTGTGGGAACTTTTGTAAGATGCCTACAGAGTGACATGCTATTGCATTTGTGTTACGTACTGTATTGCATGTGAAAATTTGAGGGTTAGTGATGTCACTATCCCAGGAGGAATCTCGTGTATACCAGCCGTTTGTTGTAGTCCTTAAATATTTTCCTTTGTTTTGAACTTTGAGCATTGTAACTTTGCAGATGTTGTTTTTGCTCAAACAGCAACATTACACACTAACTAAAGTTAGAAAAGTGAAATCATAATTAACCACCCCTTTAAATGCTCTGTGTGTATTCCTGTATTACAGGGGGTGGTCAGAGGTATATGACATCACATCACTAAAACTATATTTAAAGCTGCTGTCCGTAACTTTTTTGGGTTAAAAATTATCCAAAATAATAATAATTAAAAAAAACATAACCAGCCAGTGTTCAAAAATATCTGCTTGCTTTTGCCCGATTCAAAACGGTTAGCTTGTAATAATGATTTTAATTCCAGTGGTACTGGTGGATTTCCGCGGGAAATTCGAGCATGTCTTTGCGTCATTACGTCACATCTGTACACATAAAGAAGGCGTCGGCTATATTGCGTGAGGATGTTGGAGGTGGACATTTTTTGCCTTTTCTCACAGCATTAAATAATTAAACTTATGGCGGATCCAGAAAGGTTCAAACGACAATCACCAGTGACAACTGGACATTCACCACTTGTAAAACCCCAAATAATTCGGACTTCGGAGTGGGTAACGTTAGAGAAAAAAGAGACTGCAACTGGCCCACGCGAAAACAAGGATAAACATCGGTTCAAAACGGACGCAGAGACGGCTTTTTTTCTTTTAGGACAGGTAAGACATTTCAATAGTTCAATCGTGTAACAGTAGCACTTGTTCGCTTAATTCACACAGTTACGGAGTTTCCTGTCTTTATTCGTTTAGCTATTATGGTAAATATTTTGTGCTAGCTATGAGAGGGAGCAATTCACCTCTACTCCAAGCAAACCAAACCGGCCTCCTCCGAAATTATATATAGTTTTAAATATGCATCGGATTACAGATACGTGTTTTTTTTTTTTTTTTTTTTCTCAAAGAAAACCAGTAAAGAAACATTAATTTATTGGTATGACAATTAGAAATTAGACTGCACAGAAATAGAAACTGAACTACAGGGTAATCATAATACACATTAAATGTAGTCACAATGCTGATGTTGATAATTTGAGAACAAAGTATAATTTGAAAGGTTTGACGCGATCGTTATATTTAATCAGCACGATTTACTGCAAGGCTTTCCCCCCTTAGTTGATGACGTGGATGTTACTTACTTGTTCAGATGACATTTTCCGATGAAAATTCGTATGTTGTCATGGTCATACTGTAGGCCTACTTCCAAAAGTAGAATGTGTGATTCTGAATGCCAGTTTCCACATCGGCGCGGTGACTGACAGACTCGCAGTCTCAAAACATTGTGTTCATCCGCGCTGTTTCATGCCGATGTGCAACTCACGCAAAGTTAATAATTCCGCGAATAACTGCAATTACAGATTTCAAACAGAGATGGCGACAAAGAGGGAAAATGCCGGACTGCAGCTTTAATCAAACTAGCAGAATGAGACACCTTTAGAAACTTTGGGTTTCCGTTTTTTTTATTAGTTTTACTTTTTTTGTGGGTTTAAGTGTTGCAGTCTTTTGCAGTTAGTATTAGTATAGTTATAGTTAGTTTTATTGATGAGCACTGAAAAAAAGTTAGCAAAAAGTACACAAGAATACACAATAAGCAATGAATGAGTGTGCAAATGCTAACATTTATCAATACTATCAAAACAAACAATCATGCATTGCCTTTCCTTGTTTGATATGACCCTATAAACATTATTATTGTATTTGAGTTTATCTGCATATTTTTGTGTTATGGTTTCCATCCTCTTTGAACGAATGACAAACAAATCGTCAAGAGTGGGAAATGGGAAATCGAGTACATCCTGTCACTAAGTGTTTAAAGATCTTGCATAAAGGAAGACATTTTCAAAAACTTCTGCTTTTCTTTGACTGCACTGTTCTGAAGTAAGACTCGTCTCTTGTGAAATTTTAACAATATAAATCATAAGAAATGTGGTAAACATCAAGTTCATGACAACACTTATTTATTTGATAAAGGGTAACACTTTTTAATAATGTTCAGTTATAAGTCACTTATAAGTTAGAAGTTAAAGGGGTGTTTTCACAAGATGTAAAATAAATCTCTGATGTCCCCAGAGTGTGTATGTGCAGTTTTAGCTCAAAATACCCCACAGATATTTTTATATAGCATGTTAAAGTTGTCACTTTTTGAGGGTTAGCAAAAACGCACCGTTTGTGTCTGTCCCTTTAAATGCAAATGAGCTGCAGCTCCCGACACAGTGGGCGGAGCTTCAAGAGTGTGTGTGTTAGCAGCTCCGATTACCTCGCAGAGACACAGCAAAAATGTCAGAAACTGTTCTGCCTTTTATGTTTAAACCGGAGTCAGACAAAGATGGAGAGACTAAGAAGAAGTGACAACATGTAGAATGCAACAGGACGTCTCTGAATGGTTAGTTGATGAATTTATGTTGCTGATGAGGAGTTAACTATCTTCAATTAGCATATTCTGTCAGGATAATCTATAAATCGCTTATACTGTTGTGAGATGCACACAGAGTGACTACAACAGCTCTTCCTCTTCTCAACATGGACTGTGTTCCCGGGGGCAGGGTTTATGTAAATTTTAGGGTTAGTGATGTCACTAACCCGGGAGGAAGCTCGTGTAGTTCCTACCAGCCGTTTGTTGTAGTCCTTTAAAAATGATTTCTTTAAAATAAAATATCTCCCTTTGCTTTGAACTTTGAGCGTTGTAACTTTGCAGATGTTTTTTATGCTCAAACAGCAACATTCACACTAACTAAAGTTAGAGAAGTGAAATCATAATCAACCACCCCTTTAATGAATAACTAATTAATTACAAAACATGATTATACATTCATAACTGATTAATAAGTGATATGCTAACCTTCTATTTAAATTACATTTTAATTCAGTTATGTCATTTATAAATGATTATTTAATGATGAGCTAATTATTTACAAAACATGACTATAACACGTTTCCGTGTGATTAATACTTTACACTTTAGATTAGGGGATGCAGAAAGTGCTGTAAATTACTTGTATAGATATACAGATCATTTGTAACAGATCAGAAATATCTACAAATGATCTGTAACACATTTACAAGTGATGAATAATTTACACTTTAGATTAGGGTATGCAGAAAGCTTTGTAAATGATTTATTAATGCGTTCACACATAACAGGTGTTGAACACTTTGTAGTGTGTACTGCAGTGTAAATGTTGACTGGTGAGGGTATAGACAGTTGTCTTCTCTGACACACATGGACTCTTTAACCACTGTGCACATGATGTGAGCATCAGTTGAAGGTAAATTCGGTTCTGAGGTTCACATTATCACTTGATCCACACACTCCACGCAGAGTGAAAAGATTTAACATAACTCACGTCATTTATAAATGTTTATCCGCTTCAAAACAAATAAATTACTCTTCTTCAAAATACTGCTTTAGCATACCTGCATGTTTGGTCTTATGAACACAGACCAGCTTACAACTTTCACGATACATCAATAAATTATACTAATCAATTACTAATGGTTCATTTATCATTTGTTAATGATTAACCATTGTTTATTGAGATTATCAGGTGTTTCCTTGTGCCATGTGCTAGCCCCAGGGAGTTTTGTTTTGTTTTTTGTAGTTTTGTTTTGTTTTTACCTCTTATTAAAATATCCATTGTTCCTGCATTTGAGTCCTCGCTCCTTTTCATCAACCCAGACCGTGACAGTATCAACTAATGACTTAATAACTATCTACTAATGATCTGTTTGATTTACTTAATCATTTAAAATCTTTTAAGATTACTTACGACACATTTGTAAATCGATAACATAACACTTATAAATAATTTATGAACATAGTCATTTTGTAAATGATTTGCTCATCATTAACTAATCATTTATAAATGACTTAACTGAATTAAAAAAAAAAAACATTCATAACATTAGCTCACCGCTTATTACTCAATTATGAACGAATTGTCATGTTTTGGAAATGATAAGTTCATCATTAACTAATAATTTCTAAATTATTTATAACTGAATTAACAAACAATCAATACATTTTAGCATATCACATATTAATAATTTATGAATGTTTATTCATGTTTTGTAAATTATTAGTTCATCATTAACTAATAACTAAGTAACTTATAACTGAACGTTATTAAGATATTAGTCATGGAAGAGTCTGCAGTGACTGTTAACTCTCTTTAAATTTAGTTAGCATAATTTTGTGTTATGGTTTCCATCCTCTTTGAACGACGCACAGAATGAACAAAGGCTGATTGGTAATATCTCGTCCGTGTTGCTGAGATATCGTCAAGAGTAGTAGCCTACATCACGTCACTAAGTGTTTAAGAGATCTCGCATAAAGGAAGGTCATCTTCATAAACTTCTGCTTTTCTTTGACTGCACTGTTCTGAGGTAAGGCTTGTCTCTATAAATCACAAGAAATATATTGTAAACATTAAGTTCATAATAAGACAAAACTTATTTATTTAATAAAGATATTAATCATGGAAGAGTCTGCAGTGATAAAATCTCTTTAAATCTCTTTAGTTAAACACTAGCCTGACTGCGTCGTCAGACTTCGTACTTCCGCTCTATTTCAGTTCGCTACGAAGCAAAGCGAAGTAGCAGAGTTTGGTATTACCAGGCTAGTTAAACACAGTAATAACACACAAGCTGAAGGTACAATTCATTGATTACAGTTGTGGATAGAGTAAAAACAATTTGTTGTGGTTTTTTTTTTTTTTTGCACACAAGTATATTTAGGTTATTTCCTGTTTGTGTCAGAGCTCCAGTGATGCCCATGTTCCAGATCATGTCCTTCATCATCATCATCGTCAGCTCTGTGTTTCTACACACTCACTCAGGTTGGTCCATATTACACTCAAATTTTATTTTTATTTTAAACAATCACATTCAGCAGAACCACAACTTATGATACACAAGAGATAAAATAGTGTGCAGGCATGTGATTGGCAAAGGACAAGAAAATGTATCGAGCAAAGACCCTTAAAGCTATCATATGACTACAGTAGACTTTAAATACAGGGCACAAGTCATATGTCATAATTACTTTTATGGTGCTGTTTTGTCCTTTTTGGAGCTTGACTTTCCTATGTCAGTGTACTGTACTCTTTTGTTGTGAGCCAGGGCAGTATGAAAAAAATCTTTAAAACCTTTATTTTAAGAACACATAAATATTTTACCTCTCTAAGGTTTAAATTAAAATGCTCTAATGTGTTTTTATGTTTCAGCTGATGGTAATACCTACTCTGCAGTGATGCCTCAGACAGTAACAGCTCTGACAGGCTCTTGTGTGCAGATTCCTTGTACATTCAACATCTCCAGTTTGGAGGACAAACGTAACAAGGCAAAATCTATTTATGGGATCTGGGTAAAAAAGAAACCCCAGTTTGCTGATGAAGACGGTTTTATAGCTTTTAATAGCAGCAAAAACATCATAAGAGGATTTAGTGACATACAGATGACTGGAAATCTCAGTGAGAGGAACTGCACAACTGTCTTCTATAACATCATGATGAATCATTCAGATTTTTACTACTTCAGACTGGAAATGGAGCCAAATCTGTTCAGAGGAACGTTTCACACCAATACAGACGATTTAAGTAAGACTGTGAGGATCACTGTCAAAGGTAAACATCATCTCCACTGTCTTTAACATACAGGTTCTTATGCTTTCCTTCACTTGTAATTCACTTGATAAATTGAATAGATAAATACATTTAAATGTAAATAATTAACAAACATCACTAAGAACGTGTGATGAGCTCATTTATATCTGTAGATTCACCACAACCTCCTGAACTTAAACCCACTGATCTGAAACCAGTAATGGAGACCACAACAGTCAGTCTGAGCTGCTCCGCTGAAGCCCCCTGCCCAAAACAACCTCCTACATTATCCTGGTCTTACATCCCTGAATCTGCCCACATTACAACACAGTTACAGGAGAAACCTGATAAAACCCAGTCAGTGTTTTCACACATGACCTTCAAAGCTTCATACATGGATAACAGAAAGAACATCTCCTGCACTGCTACATATCCAAGAAAATCATCTAAAGACTCAACTGTGGAGACCACCGTGATGCTACGAGTCCTGTGTAAGAGATTTGACTGCTTACTTCCTTTAACATAGCCCTGTGCGTGCTTAAATGCACAAAGTGCTGCTTAAACAGAATTTGGTGTTTAGCTTCCTAGAAATGTCTAATGCACAGGTATTTTACATGCTTTCCCTATTTATGTGCTTGTGTTTCTGTCAAAGTTTCTCCAAAAGAAACTCGCATCACCATCGATCCATCGGCTTCAGTCTCTGTTAACACTAGTGTGACTTTGACCTGCAAAAGCAAAGGCAGTCCATCAAGAGAAATGAACTACACCTGGTACAAACGTGGACAGGAGATGGCTATAGCTCAGGGAAAGCAGATTACCTTCAATGGAACTCAAAATAATGCAGGATGGTATTCCTGCACTGCACAGAATGAACACGGAAAACAGTCATCAGCAGAGATCCAGCTCACAGTTGAAGGTGAGTTTACACAGTCTAAATGTAAAGATCATATCAAGGTCATTTACAGATTCAAGGCAATGAAGATTATATTGAAATACAACATTCATGGTCCAATTACAAGTGTTTCACATCCTATAGAACAAGATGGACACTTAATGCCTCTGATTGTTGGTTGTGTGGGAGGAATTGTGGCAGTGCTCACGCTCTCTGCTCTTGGGTTTTGTGCAAGGTAAAAAATATTAACTTTCATTGTGAATTAAACAGTAGTTGTATTCCTGTTATGCCTTTTTTGAAACATCCTGTTTTTTTCCCAGCACATTTTTTTCTGCTCTTTAGAAACGAGAGGGGATCCTTTTTTACACGTATTAAGAATCCCACATTGTTTTGCAACATATTTCTGTTGTCATTGCCAATTTACACTTGATCCGTTTGAATATAATTTTTGCCACTGCAAAAATAACCATTTCGAAAAATTTCTTTACTAGGAGAAAGATTTTCAACGAACCCAGTGCCAATGAAAAGAATCGTTCTGGTCAGGTAAATGTAGTTTATTTTTGTATAGTTTTGTGTAGAAATCTGGTTCATAAAAGTTCAATTTCTATATATTTCTTGTTTATTGATTCACCAGCTTGTTCGCATTTATTATGACCATTCATTTATTAAAAATGCAATAATTATTTTTTCTAATTATGTGAAAGATGTTACATATGAAAATATTTTGCACATAAAACACGATTGTAATCTGTTTTCATTGTGCACAGGTTAAAATCACAGACGTGGATTATATCAAGACTGCCAGTTACATCACGACCAATGAAATGTCTGATGATGAAACACTGATCATCTACTATGAAAAGACTGACATCTCAGAGCAACAGAACTTCTGCATCACAGAGACACTCTTCAAGCATGATGAATACACAGAAATAGAGTACAGGGTACCTTAGGGTTTGTAGGTTCACTTAAAGGCAATTCACCGACAGACGCAGTTTCCCTGTTGGCGTCTGTTACTGTTCGGCGCTTGTTTTCAATCATTCAATCAATGTTTGTGAGTAGTGGAATGTCTTGAGACGTGATGTACTGTAATCTGGTGATTGTCCGTGATGGATGCTGTCTGTTGGTGCAGTGTGAGTTGACCCATATACAGTGGGTATAAAATGTCTACACACCCCTGATAAAATAGCAGATTTTTTACATGTTTGAAAAATTAATCCAACTAAAAGAAAAAAGAAAAAAAGTCAGATCTTTTTCCAGGAAGCTCTTAAGAATTTTTTTAACCCTCAGCCCACACATTTACAAAGCTATTTTTTTTAATACAAATTATATGTCATTTTTTATGTTTACTTCTAAACTATACATTTGTGCTGTGTTTTGGGGGATTTGTGGTACTTTTTTTTAACCACATTACTCAACATTCATTTTTCTGCTCCTATCACAACTTTTTTGATATATGTTGTGAATATATATATTTAAACATTATAAAATACATTAAAATCTGTATTTTATATTATATAATATTATATAAATATTATTATTTTCTCAGAAACGAGTGTTTTTAGCTGGTTTGACAGCCGCTAAGAAAATAGTAGCAACGAGATGGAAACCTCCACATTCTCTTAATAAGCAGTATTGGGTTCTCACATTTATAGATGTGGTGTATCTCGAATTGTCCACTGCACGCATTCATGGCGCAAGAGAGGACACCATTAGACTCTGGGCCCAAACATTGGAAAAACTCAAGGGTTTACTGAGTTGAATTAATACCCCCCTCCTTCTCTCTCTGGTTTTATGGTCATTTTATCTTATTTTATTGTTATTGTTCATCTGGTTAATTTATTTTTTCCTTATTATTAATCATATATTCCAACTGTCGTAGATTTCTCTCAGCTCTATTCTACTGTTTTTTTGTTTTGTTTTTTGTTTTTTTTAAATGGATTTTTTTTCTAACAATTTTAATAATCTGTAGTACTTATATATATTTGTGTATATCTTGAAGTATATTCTGTATGTTTGTTTATTTATTCATTATATATAATTTTTCAGTATCTTTGTTATCCCACTGATATAGTACCCTATATATATTTATTTTAAATTTGTATTATCTTAATTATTGATTTATTCATTTTTTTTATTTTTTTATTTGTATCTCTTTTTTTCATACTGGGGTAATTGCTGATTGTTTGTCTTCGTCATTATATGTCATGTTTAAACAATAAAAATATGATAACAAACAAAAATATTATTAATTTTTTGTTGTTGTTGTTTGAAGTGTTTTGAAGTGTCTGTATTTGCAATAATGCCACATATAGTTGCAAATATATAACTAAAATTCTTCTAACAAATTATTTATTTCAATGAACCAAATGTAAAAAATCACTAACTTTTGATCATTTAATTATGACATTATTAAAAAAAATATGTGAACAAAACCAATTGTTGGAGTTGTAACCTTGTAACCAATCAGGTCAACGTGCCGGCGGGCTTTAGCATTTCATTACTATGCCGTAAAGCAGTGGAGTCTCAAGAGAAGCCAGGTTATCCAGATATAGTGGTATGAAAAATATACCTATGATGGGCCCCGTCGCAGATTCGATAATTGCGACTTTTTAATCTCTCAATTCTGAATTCTTTTCTCTAAATTGCGAGGTATGAATTCCAATTCTGAGGGGGAAAATACTTTTTTTTTTTAATCAGCAGCAAATAAATATGAATGAACATCAGAAGGAATGTTGACAGATACAGAACTTACTGAAATCAATCATGTCTCATGTAATCCATTAATCATTGTTTCAACCGCGGGAAAACGTCAATAAAACAGCTGGAGAACAGTAATGTCAAATAACATATTTACCTCAGAAAAGCCTTTCAAATGACCATAAACTCAATATTCAGCAAGAAAAAATTAACCCTAGAAAAGAAAATTTTGCTAAATATATGCAGTACTACTGTAAATATTCATTATAGCCTATATTTTGATTAACCAGTTGTCTTCACAAATGTGCGGTACGTCACTGGATGACTCGGTTCCCTGAGAGTTGGGAACGAGTATTGCGTAAGTAGCTTACGCTATGGGAAAACTCCTTTTCTCAAGAATATTGAAGCCAAATTTTTAAAACACAGTGCAGCTGCACAGCAGACATACAGCTGAGCGCCTTAGTTCGCTCATTGGCTGTGCTGCGGCAACTGCACGAACCTATGGCGAGTCGGCTAGGATGCGCAAACCAATCAGGACGCTTCGCGCCCGCGCGTGTCAGAGCCTGCCAGAATGGACTTGGCTTATAGCTTATATAAGCCCCCTATTCGCCATAGAATTCAGGTTAAATCGATGCGATCCCCTGATCAAAACACAGTAGCACGGCAAGTTACGCAATACTCGTTCCCTATACTCTCAGGGCACCGAGGTTACGTTAGTAACCGAGAGGTTCCCTTTCGAGAGGTCTCTCGTATTGCGTAAGTAGCTTACGCTATGGGAACCACTGTCAAAATGCACGGCATGCTTTAAAACTTCGCCCCATACTATAGCCTAGGCGGGCCAAGCGCCCGAGGCTCATAGAAGAGTAAAGTCCTAATATTCATGAATATCAGTCACGTGACCTCTTAAGTCATCCACTCTTTTTCCAGTTGACTGCTGCCATCTTGAGTACCTACCGAGTACTGTCTATGGTATTGACAAGCATTAGCTAGCTAGCTTGCTACGATTTACAGCTTCGTACGGATACAGTATATGGCTATGAAAGACAACATTTCGCACCTCGACTGGCAAGAAAAGAAACGCTACTTTAAAAAAAATATCATCTTTAGGGTGTGATCCCTACGCGATACCTCCAGCCTCTGTCCGCTGCTACCGAACTACCAATCCTGGCATTCAATGATATATATATCGGTACTTTGTTGCAGGCTGGGTCCTTGACTCGAAAATATGGCATCTTCACAAGATGTTTCTCGTGAAAGGAAAGGTAAGTGTTCTTTTAACCCAACTTTGTAAACAGCAGCTAGCAGCTAGCCTAACAACTCAAGGCTATCTAGACTAACTTCTAGCTGTTCTCTAGCATATGTCAGCACAAGGGGTAGCTAAATCATCTGGTCATGGTTTCAAAACAAACTACAAGAACTAATGCACACTTTGCAACAACAATAAAAAATAGCGAAGAAATGCTCTTTTTCTAAATGAAAAGCGTCATGTTTTCATGTTTTGGGGAGGAAATAACAGGTATGGTCTTTTTAAGAGCTCTCTCTCTCTCTTTTCTACTGTGTCCTCGAAGTCATATTTACATAAATTATTTTGGACCTTTGTTGAAATTCAACTAGCACATAATATGTAGGTCTGGTATAATTTATTTAATAACCTAACAAATATACCTTTCAAAACTAACAGTCAATGGCCATGATGTTTTTAATGAATCTGTTGGCTTCTTCAACATCCATTTAGTAGTATCTCATGATCTGTTGTCTCTCCACTCCCGTAGTACACTGTAAAAAAAAAAAATCAGTTGTAGCATGGTACTGTGCTTTAAATGCATTGATTGACAAATGAGTTGATTTTACTAGACTAATTGGTCTGCTGTCTTCTCTTAAGGTGAACCACTCTCAGGCCGTCAACATGACCCCCACACAACCATTGATCGTGGTCCATGATGATGGGACAATTTTAGTGGCCCACTGCACCCGCAAAGCAGGACTATGCTGCTGCTCTCATGCTGTCTTAAGAGCGGTAAATCTAAAAGATGGAGTGTCCAGTACAGAGACGCCCTGTGCCTGGGTTCTTCTGAGCAAAACCGGCAAGGTGCAGTACAAGGAAATTAGCAACATCTCATTCATGAAGAAGACAGTAACATACTCACCACTACCCAGCATTCCTGTCCTTACAGAAGAGGAGTATATGGAGTTCTACCAAAAGCTTTATGAATGTGATGTTCAGGAAGAAAGTACTAAGGGAACTGCTATCTTGTCTGTGATCGAGGACCACTCTCACAGATACAAACCAAAGACCCTTCAACTGAATTTGCCAGAACCACTTTCTAAATTATATTCAAAGGCAAAGTTGCATGCTGATTTCTCGTCCTTACTAGTAGAGAGTGACAGCATCTTTGACAATCTTCAGTTAACAGAGCAAGAGGTATGTACTGACAAATTGTAAGTCTTGTCCTCTATTTAATATTTTGTGAGTTTTATTTTACACCGCTTTGCGTTTTGAAGTACAGAATGCCTGGCACGTGTGCAGCTCTTAGCGAGTGCAGGTTGATCTGAGCCCATAGCAAGAGGTGTTTGGCCATGGTGTGCAGGTTGCTTGACCTGAGACCGCCTTGGCGAATTATATAGGAAACCACTGACATGTTTTCCGACCGGACCAAGACGTGGTGATGACCTTTATATGTATGGGAGAAAAGCTATTAGTGATAGAGCGACCGCTCTCATCTCTAGACAGTTTATGTGTAGGCACCTCTGCGGGCTCGACCAAAGGCCGGAGATGGTCCTGCCCTCGTACAGGGCCCCCCAACCTCTGTTGGAAGCATCTGTCGAGATCACTTTCCTCTTAGAAATCACGCCCATAGAGGAAAAGGTGGAGCGGGAGGCGCGGGGTCGTTGTGGGCGAAGGTGGCCAGACGAGACCGCAGGGTGGAGAGCGCCATTTCATCACACTCCGGGCAGCCGTCCTTAGAGAGTGCAGCTTCCGCGTGGTCACGGCCCAGACAGGAAGTGCAGACGATGTGACGATCTCCGCAGAAGAGAGGGCCTCTGCAATAGGCGCAGGTGACCCGAGGCATTTGAAACAACGCCTGGGAATTTGCTCTTTTAGAAAGTGAGTCACAACAGCAAACACACTAGCTTTTAAAGGATATAGCACGCCGGGGGGCACAGCAGAACAGCGGGCTGAAGGCAGCGCCCAGTTGAAACCAGGGAGCCGGTGTCCTCAGAGCTGCTTAGCAGGTTGCTTGTTCCGCTGAAG